CCCCCCGAGTCTGAGGGGAGATTGGCAGCTAGAAGTGGGAGCCGAGGGGCGGCACCTGTCTCAGCCGGGCCTCACTTCCCGGAGAACTGGCCGGGCCTCGCCTTCTCCAGCTTTCGGCGCCGCTCGAGGGGGATCTCCTGCAGGTTGATGCCGTGGTTGCTGGCCCTGCGGGGAGAGGGAAGTGGCCTCAGGGATCCAGAATGGGGGCGTGGGAGGGCAGGGACCAGGTCTTCCCTACTTCGTGGCTGCGTAGGGTCAGGCACAGGGCAGAAGACAGGGAGAAGGGCCCATCCCTCCTAACTCATCCCGTCCACAGATGCCGGCTCCTCACCCCGGTTGCAGGTCAGGCGGTTTGGGGATGGGTTTGTTGAAGCCCCGTCTGCCCACCAGCCAGAACGTTTCCTCTGTGCCCTTGCCCTGGAAAGACAAGGGGAAGGGGAGGACTTAGGCGTGCTGGGGTGGTGGTGGTGGGGGGTAGGGGGTGGATCTGGACTTCTAGGTGGAATCCGGGTCGGGCGTGGCAAGCTGTCTCGTAGCCCGGGCCCAGGAGGGAACGTGCCGGCCTTACCTTCAGCTCCGTGCGGCCTCGCACCTCAGTCTGGAAGCCCTCATCTAGAGCGCGGAGGATCCGTACGGTGCTCACGTTCACATGGATGCGGTAAGCTGGGGAGACAAGAGACGCCGTGAGCTGCGGAGTCACCTCCCGCGGTCTCTCCCTGCCGTTCCCTCCCTGGGCCCCGCCCGCGACGTCGCACTACCTCCCCAGCCCCTCCCAACCCCTTCACACTCACGCAGCCCTGTGGATTCCATGCGTGAGGCGGTGTTGACCGTGTCCCCAAACAGGCAATACCGCGGCATGGTGAGGCCCACCACGCCCGCCACGCACGGGCCTGCGGAGAAGCGCAGGGTTGGCGGGCTGGCCTGGCCTGGGCTGAAGCTGGAGGCTGGGTGGTGCCTAGAGCCTCGGGGGGCTTTAGCACCCTATAATCTCCACAAGCTCCTCAAAGACACACTCTCAAGAGTACCCTCTTAATTACAGCGGAGTGCCTGGTATGCAAAGGTGGCTTCAACAAGCCCTCTATCCCCTCTACCCCACCCCCGAGTTTGCCTTCTATCTGGGAAATATGGAGCTGGGTCCTCCGGAAGGTGTTACCTGAGTGCAGGCCAATGCGGATGCGAACAGGCACCTCAGGCATGTGGCGCATGCGGAAGGAGCCCACAGCGCTGAGGATGTCCAGTGCCATGTTAGCGATCTCCGCTGCGTGCCGCTGCCCATTCCGCTGAGGCAGCCCAGAGGCCACCATATAGGCGTCCCCAATTGTCTCCACCTGAGGAAAAGGGTTGTACAAATTCA